TGTATATATAGACTGTGCCTCTTTTGATGGGAAAGAATCTAACCTTTGATTTCTAGAGAAATTCACACATCCTGAGGGCAACAACAAACTTATTTCTGGAACTTAGAGCAGATAAAATTAAACAACAAACACTTGGGTGTGATGTAAAAGAATTCAGAAAGAATGCTACTAATAACTTCTTATGAGCCAGAGGGTAGTATTCACCACTTTTAATTCCCTAAAGTTTGGAATCTAGGCTGATTATTCAGGCTTCACCAGTCGATGTTAAGAGATGTGAGCTCAGTCTCTTGCCACCCACTACAAATGAAACTCACATTTCAAATGCAAGTCTGTTATCTTGAAGAAGCAGATGAAAGAGGTGGGCAGTGGTGTGGTACAAACCCACAATTCTTATCAGTACTGTATGCTGTAACAATAGAACCTTAATTATTTAAAGACCTGTACACAAATTGGCCTGCCTACCACACGACAAGATGTATTAAATAATGCATTTCACTATATATGTAGACAACGTTTAGTCTTTGCTGCAGAAGGCAGCAGCAGAGATACAGGTTGATACAAGAGAAAAACTACAGAAGATCTGACTCCTGATCAGCAGCAAAAAACATTCTGGAAAAAAGATAAGTATTTTATACTACCATTCCAAAACACCATCTGAATGGTCCATGATACTCTTACCAGAAATTAACATAATGCCAAGTATTCCTGGGACTTCTGGAAAATGTAACTGAGAATTCTAGACCTATGGTGAGAAACAAACATTTATGACTCTTTCCCCACTGAAAGCTAAAACCCCAACTGTTGTCCGAGAGCCAACACTCAGCCAAAAGTACAGCACAGCAGTCAAGGGAGCCATGTTTCTTCTGATATCTCAGATTTCCCTTACTCATCCTTACCTTAAGGCTCATGAATACACCTCTTTGAACAAAGACCAAAGAGTACACCCTGCACTATATTAACAGAAGCATAATCAACAGACTGAGGGAAGAGATGATCTCCATTTATCTGACCCTCATTAGACCACACCTACAATACTGCATCCAGGTTTGAGCCCCCCAGTACAAGGAAGGTAATGAGGGAGGATCATTTGCTCTGTGACATGAAGTTCAAGGAACTGGGCCTGTTCAGCTTGAGAAGAGATGGCTTTGTGGTGGCCAAACAGCAATCTTCCCATGCCTGTGAGGAGGTTATCCAGAAAACACAGGCTCTTCACAGTGGTGCATGTGGGAGTTGGAGAAACAGGTATAAAACAAAATAAGAGAGACTGACCTGATTCAAAGAAAAGGGTTTTCATGATGCAGGCAAGCAGTGAAGCAAGCTGGATTATAGTATCATAGAAGCTGTGTATCAGGCTAGACAAAATGAGTGGATTCAAAGAGATAAAGAGACTTACAATTACCCTGGTATTACTTGATAGCACATGTATGTAAAGTGGCAGTATCATCCCAGTACAGATACTCTCTCACAGCTGAAGCCTGGTGCAAATGGAATGATTTTTCTCACAGTTAACAGCGGCAACACACAGCACTGGAAAAAGCAATGCTTTAGGGGAGGGATGAGTAAAAGCGATTCTACATTGTCAAGAACTTCTGTCAGAACAAAAGCAATATGATGGTTAACTCAGGCTGTTAGTAAAGGACATGGTTAATTACAGTCCACACAGTGCAGAAAGGTGGCAATTCCAAAGGAGAAGAGGTATCTTGTAAGTCAGAGAAATCAGTTGAGAGTGATATTCGGTATGTTTTCTCAAGATATTAAGAGTAAATAGCTGACACACTTAAAGAAATCACAATGGCCAAAAATCTTAATGTAAAGGGCATTCTTGAAAAGCACTGTAATGGTAAATCAATAGAATAGTATATTATCCCGCTATAGTCTGCCCTCCTTTAGCATTAATTGCTTTTTGAAGTGAGGGGAAAAGAGTTGTATTTGACATGGTCCATAAAATGTAATTAAACTTCTGGAGTGAAAAAGAGCAGAAAATTCTACATAGCTACAGATTTGGATTTAAGAACAGTGATGTACTACTGCTTGAATAGTTCTGGTTTTAAAGAGAAAAGGTATTATGCACACTTTTTAGAAAGACAGAATGCAAAAGGTACTACATTTGCAAACTCAGTGACGTGACTGCATCCATACATTTCCCCTGTCTCTTACTACCTGTGCAATACTTACCTTCTCTGTCAAAATGCTGCAAACAAAACATTTTGAAAGATGGGAAGAAGAAAGGTAGCACCAGTTCACAGAGGAAATGCATTCTATTGTGGCATGTTTTATCTGCTTAAGCAGTTCATGTTGCCCAAAATGTCATGCAAGTTTCACACTCAATCCTCTATAAATCAACAGAGTTGTTATGCGACCAAATTCAAAGAGCTTATGCTTTTAGAGGATGAGAAACATACAAGACGACTTGATTAGGAATGGGGGGGAGGGCGGGGGGACGTATAGTGCTCCATAAAACAAGATTGCAAAACCTGCACTTTTTGAAGTGTATTTTTTGCCACAAGCAGTAACTGTTAATGCTGCTTATGATCACACAGAAAAATAATTACTCCATCAAAGAGTAAAAGTGTACCACTTCAGTTAGTAGCAGAAGGCAAATGCCACAACTTACCCCTGGAATTCATTATTCTCTTACTTCACTTCAGAAAGTGCTCATGACTGCACCCTTGTACCTACACTCACAAATTCAAATCATAGATCAGGCAGTCATGTAAATTCACTCCCCAAAAGTTCCCCAAGAACAAATGTAACCACATGAACAACAGAAAGCAGAACAGGCAAAAATCATAGTTACACCAGCAGTCTGATGAAAGTCATTTTCCAGAGGAGGCTTCCTTTGAAGTAGGTAGTTGGGTGACTGCTGGGAGTCATGAGAATGTATAGACAGAGCCAGAGGAACATTGGTTGGAAGGGACCTTTGAAGGTCACCTAGCCTGGCCTCCCCCTCAGAGCAGAGCTAAAACCACGGCTAGATGACACATTTCCAAGTAAAGAGGCCATACTCACCTAACAGTGGGTGTGAGAGACAGCAGGATGTCTGATGCAAAACCAGGCCTCGTGTGTGCTCTGTACTCTCCAGAGGCACTCAGGTTTCCACATCAAAAATCAGTTAAGGGAAGCATGAACTGAGGAAGTTAACTGGCTGGAGTTAATACAGATACTAAATGAGCCTCAACTCAAAAGCATGAGATCTACATATCTAAAGGATAAAGAGCAAACACTGCAGACAATGAAGCATCCGAAGTATTTCTACCCTAAATTGATACGAGAAAATGATCAGCAAACAACCTCTGATCACACATACAATTCCAGTGGTCTCAAAATAAGGTCATACACAAACTCGAAGAAACTTGCCTGCACAGCTGATGCAGACCACCACCGTGATTTAGGAAACGAGGAGCAAACAGGCTGCAAGAACCCAAGCAAAACAAAGTATGACCCACATATTAAGTAATCAGTATTTTTCAGCAATAGGATGCAGATTTCAAACTGGAAAGGCCATTTTTTTGTTTAATGTGCAACACCCCTGGCAATTCTGGTTTTGAGACAGACAGCAACAGTGAGATCTGTTCTATTTAGCTTTTATTTACTGGCAGCAGTACAATGCTGTAATACACTTAGGTTACACGACATGTTAGTTTTTATATGACATCGACAACTATGATGGAGCAAAGCCAGAAAATGAGTGCTAGCTGAGGATAATTATGCTATAACCAGTCTAGGGTTTTAAGGCTTTTCTCAGGGAGAGGGGACAGGAAAGATGATGTATGCCCATTTTTCATTTGCACTCGTGAAATTTAAAGCCTCTCTTAATGGCCTAAGTCACACACTGAACAATGTTAATTGTCGAGAAATTGCTTTTCCAGGTTGACTGCCTGCTTAAAGCAGAGAACATAAAACAAGTCCACTCTTCACAGAGTTCCACATAAAACAACTTGGTCATGGGAATATTTATACTTGTGCTTCTGCATGTTAAGTTGCTACCTTGGTATTTTCAAAGCATAGCAAAAATTAAAGAAGTAGCAAATTAAAAATCCCTGAAGCAAAAAATGAGGAAGTTAATTGTCTGGAGTTAACACAGATATAGCTAAATGAACCTTGACTCAAAAGCAAAAGACTTACATACCTCTAAAATGGGAAAACATACAGAAAAGGCAAGAGAGGAAACCCTTAGAAACATAAAAAAGGTACCATTCCCTGCCCCTTCCCAATCTAGTCCAAGCAATGCATGCAAAAAGACAAATGCTCTTAAGTGTTATCTTGTAAGGGTCTAGATATCAACTGTCACAGCTTCTCTTAATCTATGACACCTGAACCATTTTCTTCCTATTGTCCCTCAAGTTCTTGTTCTTCAAGCCCACATCACTAATCCCTACAAGGTTGTATGTTACTAAACTGAGTATTTGCACCGTAATTAACACTGTAGGAAGGGCTAGGCACCTGCATACCAGGCGAACCCGAAGTGCTACCACCTCGGCCCCTCAGCAGCCCTGTTTCAAGTCCACGGTCTAGGGCATTCCTCTCCGAACCCGGCTGCGTTACTGCCGGCTGCCCGGCTGACCCGGCGACACCAGGGAACGCTGCCGGGGCCTTACAGGCCTGGCGCAACACGAACACCGCGGGGTAAAGGCAGCGCGGCTCCTGCTCGCCACCGCCGGCCGGCAAAGAGCCGGCAGCAGGGTCGGACCGCGCTACCTTCCACCTCCACCGCTCTAACCCCGGCAGCCGCAGGTAAAGGACCCTTCCTCCCGCCCGGCCGCCATCGTCGCCCTCCGCGGGGAATTCCCACCCCAGCCCAACTGCCGCCGCGAAGCCCCGCCCCGCGATCGTCTCATTGGCAGCCGAAGGCTCGGCCTTAGTGGCGTCACCAGGAGCAGGGGCGCGCGGAGGGCCCGTGTCACGTGACGGCCAGGGCAAGCCTCCCCGTCCCGCTCTGCTGTTCTCCGCGGTGGCGGGTCCTGCCGCGCACCCCCGCGGCGGCCGCTCTCGGCACTCACTCGCCAGCGCTGCGGTGCCTCTGCGCCCTCGCTCCCGCCTGCGGCCGCCGCGTTCTGCCAGGCCCAGGGCGCCTCTCCGGGGAGTAGGCGGTGGGGCGGGGTGGGGCTGGCCGGGGGGCGGGAGGGGGCGGAGCTTCACCGCCGGCTAGGACCGGGGCGGGCGAGAGCGGGTGAGTCGGGGTCGTTCTCCTGAGGAGCCCTGTATGTGAGGGGAGCGGAGTGTCCTGGAGGGTAGGAACGGGCGTCAAACAGCACAACTGCAGGCAGCAAGCGTGGCTTTTAGACAGCTTTTACGAACCTTTACTATTTGATGAACGGTGATGCCCACCCCCTGGAAGGGGTTTTGGCTCTGTGCTGAGATAGGGGTCGAGCCTGTAGGAGCTTAAGTCCTAAACCTTCCGAGCGTGCTGCGGGCTTGCTACTACCTCCCTTTCAGGCAGCTTCCCATCCCCAGCTCAGCACCCCGTCGAACTGGCCCACAGACACCAGGCAGCCTTGTAGCAAAGCAGGTTAAGGCTCTACACAGCAAAATCACTGTGAGACGCTGGCTGTGCTGGTAGGACTAATCTACTCCTTGTTCTGTTTGACGCTGAGTAGCTGGGTACTTAGTATCTGGGGCATACAGGCACCGTTCTGCAGCCTGAGTACTAGGACAGCAACTACCCTTTTTTTTTCAGTCCCCCCTCCTTGACTAGTCGGTAAGTTGGGAATTGGCTTGCATCTGTTAACCGGCTGTTCCTTCTGTTACACAATTGGTATTCAATAAAACTATTCCAGCTCTAAAGCACTGTAAAATTGCTCTGAGTTTGAGGCAGTATTTCCTGCTCTTCTTCCTATAGCTTGTTCTAGAAGTTGAATTAATTATTCCATCATTCTCCCCAAGTACTGCTTTCGGGTTGTCATTTTTTTAGTATATGCATTCAACATCTGCACATTTGTGCAGAATCAGGATTTTGAACTGTTACTCCAAGGGGAAGAATGTCTTCCTGTGTCTCACAGTACTAGTCTACCATGCCCATGACATTTTCCTCCCATCTTACAGCAGAAGCCTCAATCAAAATCTTACTACAAAAATAAACACCATTATCACAATTAAAATCTATTCAAAGATAAGCAAAATGCAGATTTATTACGTGGCTTCATTACAAATGTATTTGCTTCATGCTCAGCTGAAAATAAATTGGAACATACCACTGGCAATCTAAATGATCAAACACTACATTAAAGCTCAACTCTGCAATCACAAGCTTCCCATTTCAGTATCTGTAAGGATTTTCTGTTTTGTAAGAAAAATATTTTAAAAAGCCCTGTATGTATCATCACTTTAAAAAGCCCATGTATCATCACTGACACACACTGAACACACAGCTATGTACACCTATGTACAACCATTTCGTGTTATCGTGAGGCCCAACACTCAGTCCAAGTTACCAGTACTAGTAGTACCTGCTGCCTGTGGTTCATAAAGGACATGAGTTTGGCTCCCTGAGCATTTTTACATCACATAAATTCAACCGTGTGATCTCACTTTTGTTTCTAGCAATGTTCAGCCTTTCTGAGTAAAACATGCCCTCATAAACACACATTTGGTAGAGACATATCGAGAGCTGTGGGAGGAAGCACTATCCAGTGCTAAAGGTCAAGTCAAGAATCACTTGGGAATCTACATAAGATAATAGATGTGTAGATGTACCTGCACTCAGAGGAAATGTGGAACACAAGCAGCAACCAGCAAATAAGTATTAAGCTATTTAAACTAAAAGACCTCACTACACAGAAATGGGTTATGCTATCACATTTCACATTCAAACAGATACAGCTTGAAATAGCACTTCAATTTAAGGAAAACCCCCCCTCACCTTTGCAAGTTTACAGTTTCTTTAGATTGCTTTTAAAACAAAGGGCACCAAAAGTAAATTTAATAAGAAATTGTTACCATTTACTGTGATGATAGACAAGCTAACAATGAATCAAGCTGAACCCGAATGTTCTGTTTCCGTAGGCAGAGATTTGACATTCAGGTGGTTTATTCGTCATGTAAAATTTAACTGCAGAAACCAAAGCTCTCCCAGTTTGTCTGATCCCATTCCCTCATCCAACTACTATAACTCTCTGACTCTCAAGGCAAGTACCTGCCAATTTGTTTCAGTGCCAGTCTTTTAAAATTCTTGGTGCAAATAATGTATGAGAGTGCTCGAGGCGTATGAGACCAGATTACTTCAACTGAGCAGCAGTGAGACTTTCTTCATATATATGAGCTGATCACCTTACTTACCCTTTGCAGTTAGTGAGGAAGAATACCCGCTTCAAGTACATGATGCCTCACATCCTAAAGATGCTTTCTTTAGGAGATGAATCCTGTTTCAAGTTACCTGGGTTTGTTTTTTTTTCCCAGTGACTATAAAGAGAAACTAGGACAGATAGCTCAGGTGCAGGTCTCAAATATGAAGGAAACAAGTTCCCAGTGAATAGGCCTGTATTTTTAACAAACCATTCAAAAGTACTTAAGATTTTTATTTCTGAATGCTCATAAACACACACACAACCTCCATCTCTAAACTTTAAATTCTAAGTATGAAATTAAATAATAGGAAACTTCATGTACATGGCATTGGTCTAAACATGACAGAAGCATATAATTAGGGAACTCCATTGGAAGTTTTTGGTGACAAGAGACTCTCATCCATAGCAGTCATTGTGAATGTTTTTCTGACTCCATTTTTTTCACTGAATCATTCTGTATTTCTCTCTTCAGAACTGTACTTGAACAGGCAATCTTTGAAGAAAAAAATAAAAGTATCCAGTTTTCTTAATTTCATTAGAGAATCAATCAAGCAAGCCAGCTGATAAGAAAGTAACTTTAATCTTCTGTAATTAGCAGTGGTGGAAAGGTAATGGGAAAAAATCCAGCATGCTGGAAAGACAGAAACTGTAACAAGTTATGTACAAACCCACTTATTCTTCACCCTTCTCTCTTCCAGGCTGTGCGTTATGCACTGTTCCAGGAGTCATTCATGAGGTATGAAAAACCAAGCAAAAAGTTAACATTTAACCATTTTAAATAAAACTCACTCTACCTTTTGCACTCTCAAAATATTTTTGAAAATAATGTAAAAAAATCTTAGCATTCTTGAAAGTCTTAAGGAATTTTTTATTAAAAAGGCGGTTTTGTTTGTTGCTTCTTTTGAACCCAATTCTGCCGTAACATCACACTGAGACAGAATTGTATCCTTCTAATTACTGTCATACAAGTAATCACACTAAATTTATATAGCACTGAAAATGATACAAAACAAATAAACCCTCACAAAAATACAAATAGGTAGTCAGAGAACTAATCAAGAAGAGCTCACGTTGTCTGTATTGAAGAGTAAACACCACTTCTAAATGCCAACAAAACCATTGATTTGTTGGCATGTCTCTTCTATCTAAGATTCTTGAGTAGAATGACTGACAGACCTCCACAGAGGAATTCCTAAAACAACTTTGGTTTACAATGATCTAGAGAGAATTCATACCCCATACATAATATTGATCTACTGGATTTCTGTAAAGCTAATACGGCAAGCACAGGGAAAACTGTACACGTGAACCGTATGATGAGAATAATAATTTAAACTCAGTACATCACATTCCAAATATACAGAAAAGACATGATTAAACACACTTATCTTCTGCTATAAATAAGCTCATCCAGCCAGATCCCAACTCTTTAATACTTCATTGACGGAAGTAGCCAAGTGTTCTCTGTGTCTGATGAATAACAGGCTATGTATGGCAAGTCTTAGAAGTCTGCTGTCTGTACTGAAGGGCGTATCTATTTCAGCATGTTTCAGATACAAAAGTTGGTATTGACTAAACTATGCTGGTTTTTGGAAGATGACTACTCATAGTGGTGCAACATTCTGCTGAATCAGTACAGATACTTATCGAAGAGCATGTTTATATCCTGCAAGTACATTCAGAAACTAGCTTCTGAAAAATCTGCCCAGAAACCAGAAGAAATGGAAACAATTGCATCAACTTAGTACCCTATATAAACTAGTTAGCCCTGCTGAGAAACAGGCTGTATTTGCAAAAGAGGAGCACTGCCCTAGCACAAATACATGTCCCTGGTACTTCAACTAAAATCAGTATGACAACATACTAGATAACATGGGCATATTAATTCATTCAAACCCAAACTTACGGACAGCACCACACTGCCACAGCTTTGCTGGATAGATTTAGAGTCAGTCTGGCAAGAATATTACATTAGCTGCACTACCTGTGTTACCCAAATAGTTTTGTCAGAGGATGCTTTGGTAGCTCTGCAGTACTGCAGTGTGCTCTGCAGACACACTTGGTTCTTGAAACAACTGCAACTTCCAAGCAGATTTATAATACAAAAGTAGCTTACAGTAGGTTCAAAACATAGTATAGATGTAAAATGGTTACATGGTGGTCAGATGGCAGGGTCATGCGACATCCTGTCTTACAGCAAGCATTCCCCCAACACTTTTAATGGTTCCTCACACAGATAAGTTGTGTATGAAGAACATTACACAACCTCCTATACAATAATCATTGGACAGATTAGGAAAGCTGCAAATACTGCACTGATCAGTATCTTCCTGGGGGACAGGGTTGGAAAGAATAAAGGAATATGAAAAGAGAGGTAAAATTCCTCAGTTTTCATATCCAGTAGCAATCTTCCATGCCAAGGAAATAACAAATACACATGTGACTATCTGAAGCATGAATGTAAATATTAGCACAAGACAAACAACTCTGGACAGCCAGAGTTTAAACATGTATTAAAGCACAGCCCATTTAGAGAAGCAACACTATCAATGTACACCATCTCTGAATCATCCCACATCAATGTGATCAGTTTATGCTTATTTAACTGACACTTCAGCAAACACATGAGCCACAGGAAACTAAGGTGAAGCTGAGTTCCTTCAAGTTACATCATCAACACAGCCAAAGTCAGGTCGTCTGTTCAGTTACTGTTTCACAGACTCTCTCCTAATTCACCAACAATACAGGAACTGAAAAGTTGAAAAGTATAGTATCCTTAACCAGAAAGCACTGAAATGCCAGAGAACACAGGAATTAGCTCCTGTAGATGCTATATTATATTTAGACCA